GGGGATAAAGCACATATAATTGCTCCTAATCAGTTTATGAAACATAAAAGCTCAAACCCAAGAGAAAGCCGATAGATGCTGAGATGGAAATAGCGATTAAATCTCCCCGCGCTGGCGAGGTGGCCTGGATATGGCGCTGCTGCCTGGGGCGGAGGGTGACCAGGGCTGTGCCACAGGGGAGGATGGTGATGCACCAGCTCCTGGGACAGGGCTGTGGGATGGGGTGGGGGGACACGCCTGCTGCCATCACTGGCTCCCCCAGCCGTGGTGAAGAGGGGCATCTCCACTGGTCCTTTGGACAATAAATCAGTTAAAGGATATCTTGATATATGCTCATCAGATAGGATTAGCTGGGATTAGACTAATCAGTAAATGTTTCTCTGCTCATTATTTTCCAGGGAAGATTTTCAGCTGATTCTCCGACGCCAAAAGATTATTAATCGCTTAAAGAGCAGAACATCAAACATCGCCCCTTGCTCTAATTTCCCTGGGGTTTGCCTGTGGGCAGGGTGCCTGTGCCAGCCGGCCCGGCAGCCTGAGGGTTCCCCAGCACCCAGAATCTCCATGGGCCTCTACCTGAGCAGCCCAAGGCCATGGCACCCCACCCCCGATGCAGTCCCATGTCCCAGGGGTGAGTGCTACCTGCAGCTGATGCTGCACCCCCATCCCCTGCTCTCTGATCCCTGCTGCACCCTGCAGTACTAGGCACACAGAGAGGTGGGACAGCCCCTGAACAATCCCCTCCTCCCTGTGGCCGCTCCACCACCATGTCAGACACCTGCTATGACCTATGGGATGGATGCCACATATGATGGGATAGGTGCCTGAATCTGCCCTCCTCAGACATGAGGAACAAGCCTTGCAAGTCCCTGCAACATTTTGGCAGACCCTCCTCAGCTGAGGATGGCTCCCGAGCCAGCGGCTGGTGGGCTTTTTTGAGTCCCTGTCTTTGCAGGGATATGAAGCTCAGGGAAAGCCCCAGAAGGATGTGGCACCGCAACCACCTGCTGTAGCAATGAGGAGGGGGTAGCAAGGAAAAGGTATTGAAGGGCCTGGTTTAGGGGATTAGTAATGGGATAAGACAGCTTTCACCTCCCTGGTTTAGATATGAATCAGGTCAATAATAAAGGACCATCTGACAGTTTCAGGCAGCTTGGGGTGGAAGGGGCTCCCGTGCTCCAGGCTGGATGGAGAATCCATCTCCAACAGCCCAGCTCTTGCTGCACACTTGTCCATTGGACCTGCACCAGTAGTCACAGCCCGGTGCTCCCTGCCAGCTCCATACCACACACCTGCATCAGCTCCTGGCAAACCAGCACGGGAGCAGGTTGGAGCCTAGCCCCCAGGGATGATGTTGAAGCCACAGCCCTTGGGTGCCTGCTGTGTAGGGCAAGCTCAGCCAGCCTGCTGGTGGCCATGATGGACCTTGCATGGGTGTAGGGTGGCTCAGAAGTAGAGCGCAGCAGGGTAAGCAGCCAGCTGATGGCAACACAGGCAATTTGGCAGGGGTGGGAGCCTTCATAAGCATGGACAGAAGGAAAAGGGCTTTTCTTCCACCCCCTACCCACCTTCCTGCTGGGTATATGGGGATGTTGTGAAAATGTTGCCTCTGACACATGGATGAAAAGGAACTGAGAAACAGCCCATAACTAGGGGAGAAGGGAGCAAAGATGGGTGCATTGCAGCCAATCACGTCCGTGTTTTGCAAGACTAAATCCCCACCTCTGAGTTACAGGTGTGCTTCCTCCCCAAAACGCGGGCAATGAGACTTTCCTCAGGCTGCTGCCAGGACTGAGTGGTGGATTGTGTGTGCACTTCTGGCCAGTTAGGAGGAGACATACGTAATTGCCAAGTATCCTCCATTTTGGGGTGATGGATTTGCAGGGGCAGGCAGCATAGACAGGTTAAATGAATGAGGAAACCTGTGGTTGCTACACTGCCAGGCTGTGCTTCAGAAGTGCTTCATTTCTAGCTCAACTTAATGTGGGTGAAGCAAAAGGTTTGGAGGGTGAGCGCAGCCACAGCTGGCCATTCACACCACCTGCTTAGTTCTGTAGCATCGCCAGCCAAGCTTACTGCAAGTGTGTTTTCAGCCCTAATTTGGCACGGGGGATCCCTTTCCATGTCCCACTCTGCATGCCCCAGAGACATCCCTATTAATTCCTCTGCACAGATTTCTGTCTTAAGGCATTTGCCTTTGATTAAAACCAGAAGAGCAGTCACAGTTTAAGTGGAGTTTAAGAGCAAATCATGTGCCAATGCACAGGGCGCTCACATCTGGAGTGTCGCAGATTTAATCAAACTGCTGGGAAGTGCCGCACGCAGACAGCTGTCACAGTAGCCTGGAGCCCATCTCCTAATTAATTACTAGCCAACACAGGGCAAACAAATGGCCATCAAGGTGCTACACCTACAACCTCGAATGAAGGTATGACTGGCGGTTGGTGAGCAAGGACAGCTCACCCCATGTATCTCCAGGAGCTATAGGTAATGTAGCCCATGGAAAGCCCTGTTCCTGCTACCACTCGTCCCAGAGGTGTAAACCCTTATATATGTATGGGAACAGGACGGACAGAGTGTTTAGGAAGAAACCCAGATGGAGTAGGCACAACAGCTGCAGCTCTGATTTCTGGCTACTCCTTCAGCTGGTGCTTTTTGCTTTCACTCCTTTTGCTTCCTCCACACTTGTTGCTTTCTAGTACCATTTACCTGCCCATCTCACATCCCTGTGGGCAACCCCCTCTTGTCCTACACAGGATGTGTGAGCTGGGACGCAGCCCTCCCTGGAGATGCTCTTCCTGGTGGTACCCAGGGCTCTGCACCTGCCATGGGTCTTGGGCAAACTCCATTTGCTTCCACAGCCTTCTGCAAAATCTGGGCAATGGCAAAACAGGTCAGGTCCAGACTCGGTTCTCCTTGGTGCTCATTCACAGCTCATTAAAGCTAATTGAAATGACTACCAAAGCGGAGTCTATATGGGTGCTTGGAATCTCTGGGCACAAGGCACAGCTAGGCTGGGAATATCCAACTGTGAGGAGCCCCAAACTAGCCGATGGACTGTCCACTCCAATTAGCCCCACAAAGGAGCTATTATTCCTCCGCACTATGCTTGTCTGATTACTTTATCTTATTATTTTTTGATCATTCCTCCAAAATGTGCTAATTAAACAGAAATCATCAAGTCAATTACTGAAACACTCATTAAAGCAGAAAAGAAAAGAAAATATCAGCAGAAGAAAAACGTCTGGGAGGCTCCCAAGCACACACAATAGCTGCCACATTCATTAAATCAGCATCTCCCAAAAGAGGGGTAGACATTGTCCCACTCTGCTCCGTGCCCTGGAAATGAAACTTCCCAAAAGATGGAGTCCGATTTCCTTTCCTTTCTTATTTTTTTTCTTTTCCTCTTTTTTCTTTTCTTTCTTTTCTTTTCTTTTCTTTTCTTTTCTTTTCTTTTCTTTTCTTTTCTTTTCTTTTCTTTTCTTTTCTTTTCTTTTCTTTTCTTTTCTTTTCTTTTCTTTTCTTCTCTTTTCTTTTCTTTTCTTTTCTTTTCTTTTCTTTTCTTTTCTTTTCTTTTCTTTTCTTTTCTTTTCTTTTCTTTTCTTCTTTTCCTTTCTTTTTTCTATTTTTCTTTTCTTTTCTTTTCTTTTCTTTTCTTTTCTTTTCTTTT